TAACAAGAAATGGAAAATTATTTGTTGATGATAACATGTATGATTAAGCCACTATGCAGTGTATTCTGGATGGGAAATCACATTTTCTGTGTTGTGATGATGTTCAGTGAATGAATGTAAAATAAATTAACATAAAACATAATAATAATAAATAAAATAGACATGGAATTAATCCAAATACCCATGAAAAGATGAATAGATTGAAAAAGGGTGTATATATACACAACAGAATACAACTCATCATAAAGATAGAGACCTTGGCATTTCATAGAAAGCTACAAGTAGGGACCAGCAGATTGCATGGTGTTTACATTGCTGAACTCCCATGTAATCAGTCACGGTTCAAGTCCTGGACCTGGTGGCTTAAACTCTCATTTGACACATGTACAAGTGTGCCGAAGATTCTGAGAGAATAGAAGAATGGAGTATACGGGACTGCAGTGTGACCATCTCCCATAGGGGGGATATCTCGCTTTCTGTCTCTCTGTCTCCCTCTGTCTCCCTCTGTCTCTTTATCTCCATCTATCTTTCTGGAGAGCACTGAGCCCTATAGCAAAAAAAAAAAAAATTGGACAAATATGGAAAAATTACTGATGCTAAGTGAAGCAAATCAGACTTTGAGAGAGACATTGTATGTCTCCGCACATTATATACCAGATGTTGACACTTCATGGCAAAAAATTGAAAGAGTAGATGATAGAAGAGCATGAAGAACAATAGTGATATTGAAGATAGTGTGGGAGGAAGGTAGGAAATGGAGAAGATGAGTTGGAGGGAATCAAGGGTAAGAAAAATGAAGCAAAACATTTAAGGGACCAAAAATGGAAAAAAAAATCTGTTGATTATAATATGTATGGTAATATCCTTGAACCAAGATACAGTGCATTCACGATGGACAAATTCATTTAGTATGCTGTAATGACACACAGGAATTAAATGTAACATATAATAATAACAAAATAATCATTAAGGGAAAATGGAATTAATGTATAAGTTTATGTTGTCCTCCCCAAATTAAAATCTATTCTGCTTTTTCATAATATGCATTTTCTACAGACTTTTGAAAAGTTTTAGTACAATGTGACATTTTTCCTACTCTGGCCAGTACTCTGATTCTAGCTGATATGCATGAACACAAAACAATGTACATGGTTTCTAAAATTTCAGTGTGCCTGATTAGCTATTGAAGAACTATTAGGAGGAAAATTGTAATATATTTTTCTTTTTTTTCTATGTAAAAATGCTTCATGACTTTCCTGACAACCCAATACTTCCAAATATCCATGAAAGTAGAGCATATAGTCAATAGTCAGTGATTCTGTGCTGCTGAAGATAATATTAACACTGTTATATTACTTTATAAATTAGATGATACTTAAATCAAGATTCATTCATTATTATGCAAATTCATTTAATATTATTTACATAATATTAGACACCATGATAAATAGCAGTAAAATCTTTCTTTGAGGGAATTATTCTAGAACAGGAGATAGAAAATATATTCTTAATCAGTGTTGTAATACTGCATTAATCTTGAATCACTAATTTGATAACCTAAAAAGATAAATAAAAGAAGAAACTCTTAAAGCCATCTCTATGTCCACTTTCATAGTGGTGGCTTTGTTTTAACAATTGTAACTACACATTTTGCTGCAATTAAATGCCCATGAGAGTTTTTCCCACAGGTCCCCCTTTATGACTTTTAAATCCAAGTCTTCTTAGCAATGCATCTTTAAACTCTTCTTCCAGACTGAAGATTTATTGGAGAGCTAGGTGCTTTCTACATCTATATTTCAAGTCGTACTCATAGAAAAGTAAAAAGAACCAGCTTGAAGGACCATCTTGACATTCCAAAGAAAGTAAAATCTTGTAGAGGTAAGAATTATCATATTTTTATACATTTTTAATTAGAATAAAATCATTGGGGTTTGACAACTATTTTACATAAATCTTGATTTTAGTAAATGAAAATTTTAAGTTCAGGCATATTTTGTTGGTGATTATTTCCAAGAGAAGCAATTTAAGAAAAGTTGGATGGTAATTTTAGGGTAAATTAATTTGTGATCAAAGGTTTTAAGCCTTTATTTGTGATTGTGAGATGCTATTTAGGCCTAATGTAAAAGTCTGAGCTTTCCAAATACATAAACATAGTTAAAATACAAACCTTATTCTTGGTATTTGTGTAACCTTGGGGTCTAGCTTTTATCTTTGCAAAACAGGGTCAATATTGTAAAGCATATACTTCACTGGGTTGTGGTAAAAATAAAATTGGTTAATGAATGAAAAGTATTTCAATGTCCAAAAGCATTTTTTTCTTAATATGTGGTATGTAAACATCTTATTCTAAATACATCTAATAATTACACTCATATTTTTAACAAAATTTTATTTTATAAATATATATGATAGTTAAGTAAACAAAAAAATAAAAAAATATAGAGATGGATTTTACACTGCAAATACACTCTTAATGGCCTTAGTCATAAATCCCACTTCCTAAGTATCATACTTTAATGCCTTCTTTTTCCTTTTGTTCTCTACAGAATTGTAGTTGACATATATTTGAAAATAATTCCACCAGAGGGCTTTCTCAAATAATTTACATTTTAAAGATGAGTCTTTTAGAAGACATCTTTTAACTGAAAGGTATTTGAAATTGTACGTTCAAAAGTTTTCCTCTTTCAAATCCTGTGTATCTTTGACTATATGTAGGTAGGATGTGTGTGTGTGTGTGTGTGTGTGTGTGTGTGTGTGTGTGTAAATGTACAAAAGAGCAAGACAGTTCTTAAGAAATAAAGAAGATAAGAAGGGGCTTATGAATGGAATAGACCAGTGGATATTAAAGTATAAAGTAGTTTTTCAAAGGAGTACTGGAGGAAACTATATGGGAAGAGTTTGAAGCAACTTTTTCCACACAGTTCTTTGTTTTCCCACTAATGCTCAATCATTATAAGTAGAACTTGCTTGGATCTAAATGATGTGCAGACCAGAGATGTATTCTTAATCATGAGTTGCACTTTCTACAGTTTTAATTCTCCAGTTTTGTTCTATAATTTTAATGAAATATTATTCCTACATTACTTTATGTCCTTTAACTCATAGTTTATTCCATAATTTGAACCCAAAACACACTTAGACCACTGCCCATGTATTCTGAATCTTTCACATGTGAGTAAATGAGTTCTTTGATCCATCTTCTTGTGGCTGAACATGAAATTCACAATAGGGGAAGCCATTAACAGCTGAAAATGTTATTATCTACTTGCATTTACAGGAGTTCTTCCTCTTCAAAACATTGCAGAAATGTAGAGCTTTCTGCAAATTGACAAATTAGAAACTTAAGGCTTTTGTATCACATATCCTTAACATGAATTCATTTATTTAGCTCTTGATTTTATTAAGCAAATAGATCTAGTGGTGTTACTTCTGCTTATCCACAGAATGAGGTTTGGAGAGGATGGATTGCTTAGTAATAACAGGAGAGAAATTAATAGAATATCTGAGATGGAATCCTTATCTTCATGACCTTAAATGGGGATCAGTGTACTACATCATATTATTCCGTATGGGTATGTTTAATAAAAGAGAGGGACCAGCAGATGGCATAATGGTTATGTTGTTGGACTCCCATCTAGTCAACCATTGCTCATGTCCCAGATCTCGCAGCTTAAAACAGCAGGGAGCGTGTGTTTGTGTGCCCAAAATCCGTAATGGAGAAGGACTGTGACTTGGCTATCCCCCCTGGGGGGTGATTTCTTGCTTTCTGGGGGGTGATTTTTTGCTTTCTGTCTGTCTGTGACTCTCTGGTGAGTATATGTGCCTTATAGCAAAAATCTGTTTAAAAAAATAAAAGAGAGAGAGAGAGAGGAAGAAGAAGGAGGAGATAGAGGAAAGAAACAGGGAAATGGCTCAAGTTAAAGTCTTTTAGTCCAACCATTATTTTGCTAGGGAGAATATTAGGATATGGGTAAAAGGTGATAATTTCAACTTGTTTACTTTCTCTACCCATTCAGTATATCAGAATGCAGTGTTCTGAATGTGTGAGTAAATAATCAGGTCATTATTTATTTTTATTAGTTCCCTCCATATATAAAAAGAAAACTAGATTTCCACAATATTTAAGGAATCAAAAATAATCTCTGAAAAGTGCCTTTCATATCATTAGAAAAAAATATTTTATGTAAGTTACACACATACACACCACACCTTTCATATATTTAAATGTGTTCCTCCATCTACACACCCAGTTGCTAACTCCTCCTTACTTCTAGACTCTCAACGTTTTGAACTTTAATCAGAATTTTCCATGGAGAGTCATAAAAACTACTGTTAGCTAATCCAGTATATTTCTTTGCCGTGATTAAAAGTCTTGACTGTTCTATTTCAACAGTAAACATTAATTCCTCTACATGTATGAAATATTATTTGTGAGACTGGATTTTAGAAACATATCATATATATCATAGAAAAGAAGGAAATCCTTAAAGTCATATGTATTAAATGATAGAGGTGAAGAAAGACTTCAGTTCTTTCACAGAGAAGGAAAACAGCTATAATTCCATTTGGCTGTAGATTCTGTGGATTACCATTAAAAATGTAGAGTGGTATAAGATACATATTCAATATTCAGGTCTCCTAACAAATATTTTAATGATATATTGTAATCAGCCGAACCCTACCATTCCATTTATTTTTTGATATTTAACATATCTAGGACAGTTATCTATTGGATTTTAATGAGACTTAAATGCTTGTGCAATATTTATAAAAGTTCTAGGCATAAAATGTGCTTGTAAAACATCATTAAAAATATAATAATGCCTTTAATCTAAAAAGGGCTTAAACATTAAATATATAATAAATCTGATATGACTTACCTCTTTTTTTCAGTTTATACATATCTTGAAACTTTATAAAAGTTATTAAAATGAATTATGTTCTGTGTTATTTCAGATGATTTGAGTTTCTATTGTGTATTCTGGACTGACCTCGACTTCATGGGAAATCAGAACAATGTCACAGAATTTGTTTTCATGGGACTGTGGAGAAATAAGCAAATAGAGCTTCTTTTCTTTTTCTTCTTCCTGATTTGCTACCTGGCAGTCTTAATGGGGAACTCCATTATTTTACTCACGATCACCCACAGTCATCTAATTGAACAACCAATGTACTACTTCCTCTGCCATCTTTCCCTCACGGACATCAGCTACACCTCCACTGTGGTTCCCCGCCTAATCAAGGACCTGGCTGCAGCAAGAAAAAACATTTCCTATAACAGTTGTATGACCCAGCTCTTTACTGCCCACCTTCTGGCAGGTGTGGAAATATTCATCTTGGTGGCCATGGCCTTCGACCGCTACGTAGCTATTGTCAAGCCCTTGCACTACATGGTCATCATGAACCGGAAGAGGTGTAACTTGCTGGTTGCTGTGGCATGGAGTTTGGGTTTCTGGCATTCTATTGCCCTCCTGCTTATGGTACTCAGTTTACCTTTCTGTGGTCCCAATAAGATAAATCATTACTTATGTGATGTGAAGCCTCTTCTACAGTTAGTTTGCAAAGATATTTATGTTGTTAGTATCTTGGTGATTGCTAATTCAGGGATGGTAGTGGTTGTAATTTTTCTTATCCTGGTGGTTTCTTATATACTCATTTTATACCATCTTAGGAAGATGTCCTCTGCAGGGCGATGCAAAGCTCTCTCAACATGTAGCTCTCATGTAATGGTTGTAGTTTTATTTTTTGTGCCCTGTATCTATACCTATGTGCTACCTGCAGGTAGTGAGAATAAGGATAAGGAAATCTCTGTGTTTTACACTGTGATTGCTCCCATGCTGAATCCTCTCATCTACACCCTGAGAAATATGGAGATGAAAATTGCCATGCAGAAAATCTGGTCTCAAATGTCACATTCAGACTCAAAGTAAGTAAGGATATATTCATTGCCTTTTCAACCTTATTTTCTAGCATAGTTAACTGTTGAAGAGTTCATCCAAACAATGTAAATATTCTTTGGGGAACTGAACTAAGTGATTTTTGAGGATATATGAACCAAATAGATATATTATACAGGTTGCTATCTGCACTTGATGTGATCTATTTCCAATTGTTATCACTCATATTTGAAGAATGCAATGAAATTCTTCTAAAGCACATTCTGTGATTACATCAATACCAAAGTACATGATACCCTATTATTCTTGGAATATGATCCAGCTTTGTCATGTATTAAGTTGAAAGCTTCCAAAATTGATCCAAGGTCTAATTGCTAATCTCAGAACTCACTACAGTGGAAGAATTACAGATTTTGATACTAACTTTAAGTTACAGGGGACCTCAATGGTATACTGACTCTTTGGTTTTGATCTGTGTGTCTAAGCAATTTGCATTAAAAACATGCATTTTTCATTTAAAAGTAACTATTGGTGTGGCTCTGATATAGCAGTTACTGCTGCTCAAGCACAGCTGCAACCACCTGGAAGACATGACTTCATTTTCCAAGTTGATTGAATACAACAAGCATGTTTGTCCATTATTCTGGCTTGTAACAGGGTGGGAAGATCATAGTGAGAGACCTTCATGAGGGTGTTTGTCTATATGTCCGACAAATCTCTCTCTCTCTCTCTCTCTCTCTCTCTCCTTATATACATAAGCAAAATCATATCATAGAAATATCTATCATGTGGGTTTATATTATACTTCATAGAGCTGTAAGATTACCTGAGTTAACACATGTGAAGAATAATGGCACACTAGAAATTCATATTAGGTATTGGAATATGGCTTAATAGAAACACATTAAAAATTTTTACTCTTTTTGCTTGTAAAAATACTTTGCCCATTGTGAAGTACTTCTCAGACCAATCCAGTTGAGAATACTATACATGTCATCATCCTCAGTTAATAAGCCATATGTTTCTCACTCACGTCCTGCCTCTCTATTGTTCACTTGCTATCTTTCTCTATCCTCTTCTCTTCACCTCCCCAATTCAACACTGTTTTAAAAAATAATTAGAATAATAATACTGATTGGGGAAAACATAGAAAAGATACTGAATGTTGAAGCGTGGAGATTAATGTCTCTATATTGACTGACATGCATGGCATTCCCTTTTGAAAAAGCAATGTAATACACTGTAAAGTTATATGGAATTCAATGTAATATAAAGAAGATTACGATGATAATAAAAAATTTTAAAAAAAAGAAAGAAGGTAACCAGAAAAATAATTATTTTACTCTTTTCCTAAATTTCTCTTATTTCCTTTTTTAATGGCTTTTCTATATATATACTGGATGCTTCTAAATTTTCCAAACATACTCTAAAATCTCCCTTTAAAGGTTTATTTCTGCCAGGTCTTTGGCTCAAGATGCCTTTGACTAAAGGGTTGAAGTTTTTTGCCTTATATATAATTCATGGTCCTGATATGATATTATTTAGAATGAAATGCATCAGACCAGATGGATTTCCTATTTCTTCCATGTTCTTGAATTGATATTCAGCTGTATATTTGCAATCTTTCAAATAATCCAATTCCTTATCTTAATACTACTTGTTATAAATTATAGACTTTTCCAATTTGAGCCAGAAGATTACATGTTGTATATTCACTTTTTTTGAATCATTCTTTTTGTTAATCTTTAATTTTTCAGATATTAGCATGTAAATCAATAGCTCTGAATTGAATTCATAGATATTATTTTCTCTTTAACTACATTGTCTTTGTTCTCCCATCCCTAGAATGTCTCCTTATGTCATTTACAATCATACATGAATAATAAAATAAGTAATGTCAGAATGCCAAAATTAAACGTGTGTTACCCCATGTCTGTTAGGGCCGGAATGAATTTCAGCAGATTCTCAGCCCTCTAAAAAGTCCTTTTACTTATTATTTCTGCTATACATAGGCATTACTATTCTCATTTCCCTTTATATCCATGTCTTACAAATCCATACCCAATCTCAATTCTGTGTCTTGGTTCCCATTTATTTAGACATTTCTGTCTGTCCATGCATTTCTCTATTCTCAGCAGAATAACTGTGTTATTTCCACAGTTGCCCTAGTTGAGTTATGCCTGCTGCATAGCCAAGACAAAGTCTAAGAAAAATCTTAGTGGCAATAGTATTTATATTTGGTGCTAGGAAATTCTTTCTTGTTTCAACCCCTAGGACCTCTCTTGCCATTAATCACCTCTTTCCCCTCTACAAGAGTTATGCATCCTCTGGAATATCAGGGTGAAACATTTTTTCCATTCTAAAGGAAACTATTTCTGACTAGTTACTTATTCACTTGTTTTATTTTGTTCAGTGTATTATTCTCCCCAGGAGGATCTTCATTTTTTAAAGTATAATAATGTGATATGAATGTGTATTTGTGTGTGTGTGTGTGTGTAAGTTAATGTATGTATTACTGGTAGGGGAGGGACTTCAAGATGGGTCAGATGAAATGCTCATCTGATCAGGAACAATGCTATAGCTTCATTTTGTATGCTGTAAATGTACACAGTGAATGAATGTATAAAATAAATATTAAAAAATTTAAAGATAAATAAAAATAAAAGAATGCTATGGTGTTAATCCAAAAGTTATTATGTTATTATTTTTTTCTTTTCTAAAGTGTCTGCAAAAATTTAAAGGGAAATATGGCTATATTACATAATAAGTCCACAAACAAGATATAGATATATTCAATTACAGTGAGCTATCTGGTTGCTCAGTATTCACTCTAGGATTCAGTTTCCAGATTTATCAAGATGTCTAATGTACAATATCTCAGCAAAAACACCTGTAAAGTGAGTCTAGATGATAGCTAAAATAATAGGTAAAACAGATGCTTTGCAAATCTGACCCACATGAGAAGGTTCTCACTTCATGTCCAGAGAACTTCCTGAGTATGCCGGGCACAAGTGAGACAATGTTCCAGGATGGCTATTGCTGGAGGTGGTCGGATTTAACCCTATTGGGGATTTCTTTCCGTCTCTCTATTTCATGGAATAAATAATAAATAAACTTGGGGGGGGGAAGTTTGCAAATTAAATATATAGAAGAACAATGATTAAATATTTTGCTCTACATAGGAGTGTAAACACTAAATATTTAAGACATTTTTATGGTTATAAAAGTGTAATTTTTGAAATGCAATGAAGAAAATGCAATCCACTTCTGTGGACAATTAAGAATTCACCATAAACCATCTGATGGTATAATGATTAGATTGATTCCAATAGGAAAATAGAAAAGAGATTGTGGTGTGGATAACTGTCCTAGGGGGTGATTTCTTGCTTTCAAAAAAAAAAAAAACCACAATGGCTGAATTATATTGACAGAATAAATAAATTAAGTCAGCTTAAGAACACTCATACTGCAGAGGCACACTGCTTAAGCACCAGGACAGGCAGAAATGACCACTATGGAAGAAGCTCAGAAGTGTTGCATGCAGACTAAAGGAAAAACTGGAGTTCAAAGCTAACTGTGAGTAGTACTGTTGTATTTTATCCTGCTTTAGTCACACTCTTCCTTCTCTCATCCTCATTCTCATTCCGTTATCTGTCTCTAGGCATCTGTTAGATACATTTAAACTATTCTAGTATTCTCTTCAAGACCTGAGAGAGGCCTGCAATTATGCTCATGTATCACAGATATTTCACAGCAATCTTCAATTCATATAGACCCTCTTTCCAGTTTAATTATATCATCAATTTTCCCAGAATATTTTTATTTCACTAAGATAACTAATAAACTACTTGTTTATTTTAAAGTATACAAAATATTCTTATTTTCTTCATGTTCTAATATTTTTATTAAAAATGAGACACAGTGTACATTGGATCCACCACAAGGATATCAGAGGAAGATATGGGTACATTTTAAGTATCTCTGCATTGCAGTTCAGCACATGTATTAAAACCATCAAAAGACAGGAAAACATTCAGGTGGAAAAATACTTGCACATCCACACTTACTGCAGCATTGTTTACAATATCTAAGACATGGAATCTGCCTAAATGCCTAAGAACAGATGACTGGATTAAAAAAAAGTGTGGCACATGTACACTACAGAATACAACTCAGCCATAACAAAAATGTAACAAAATAAAAAAGAAACTCTCTCATTTGTTACAAAGTGAATGAATATGGAAGGTCTAAAGCTAAGTGAAGCAAGGTAGACTATGAAAGACAGACGTATGTCCCCACTCCATGTATATCAAATGTCTGCACTCTATGGCAGAAACTGAAATAGTGGAAGATATTATAGCAGAAAGGGCAACTACAGGTACCAAAGAGTGTATAAGAAAGGGTGGGGGTGCTGTGGGACGGGGGGAAGAATTTAACAGACACAGGAAAGCTATCTGTGAGTGATGATAAATATATAGTAAAATCTTTGACTTGATTGACATGAACCTCATGCATGCTGGGAAAAACCAGGGTGCAAGACGTGAAGATGTACAATGATGAAATAAAGTTAAGAAAATAAAGCTACAATGATCAAACATATTCTTGCAGGCAGGGGAGTTTTGTTTCATTTTGTTTTGTTATTTACTTTTTAGGTTTTTGCCATAAGGTATGTGCACTCACAGGAGAGAGACCAAGAGAAAGTAAGAAACTACCCCTGGGAAAGTGGAAATGCCACATTCCCTTCTCTTCCAGTCTTTTCTTGGGACTTTGGGCACACATGCACAAACACCCACACTGATTTTCATGCCATTAATCCGAAACTCATACTGTGGTCTCCCATGTTGGAGTCTTGAACCATAACAACCATGCCACCTGTTGGCCAGTACAGGTGGGTTTTTATGGCCAAAATTTAAAGTCTCAATGTAGAATGTCCTACTAATAATCTGGCTGCATGACCTTAAACACAGTCAAGTTTCTAGTTTAGTTCTTGTTATGTTGCTTTGGTTATTAAAGAGTTTGGTTTTAAAGAGTTT